GTGCCACTGGTAATCCAGGGATGCAGGATCCAGTAGCTGGGAAAGGGACATTCAGTCGCTTCAAATAAAGCTCTGTACACCTACCAGGTGCTTAAAATGTTGGGACAATGCAAACAGTTCGTGCTGTGAACGTTAACCTGATTAATAGGCCTATTAACAACCTATTGAATTGGGTTTGGAAGGGATCAGTCTGATCAGATAATTAACAATTAGCAATTCTGTTGTTCCTATTCATTTTCCAAACCTTAATGGTGTGAGCAGTAAATGAGTTGTTTAGCTGTTGGTTGGACTGTATCTGACATTATTCACTCCAACACTCTGATGTGGTTAACTATTCAAGCAATGAGAATTTGTTCCAGAAACGTGAGTATGGCACTTTGGCTCACTGTGACTCTTAACACAGGAAAGAAAATGGGATAAACTGATTTATGTATTTAAACTTTTCCAGGGATTTCAGGGCAAAATTTGAAATTTGTCAGGGATTGTGTTGCAATCAATTTATTCCAGTGTTCTGCCTTTTTTTTTTTTTCAGGCTCACAATACTGATTATTCCCTCTGTGTCCTTAACAAAGAAAGAAAGGAAGAATGAGAGGTAGGTATTGTCTTTTATGGCAGCAGCAGAAGCTAACTACACTTTTAAAGCTTCTTTATACCAATTAATCCAAGCTACTTAAGGCAAAATGAAGCCTCCTTTAAAGCAAGGTCACCACCTGAAATTAACTATATCAAGAGTGTATTTCCACACCCAACAAACTGCCCCTTAAATTTAGAATCCTGTCAGCTCTTTGTACATTAATAATTTTTTTGTTCCCTGCAAAACCAGCATGCAGACACGTGAGCATGGATTCTGTACTTTTTGCATCACTCAGAGGTGAATTACCTCGAGCAAGATTTTCACTGTGGTGTCTTTATACGATCTGCAAGCTGAGAAGAGCTCGGTGTAGTTCCTGAATCCCAAGCTGACAGGGATCCAGCCATGGGGTGGGGGAGCTGGTGGGACAAGCAGCCCGTGGATTCCCGTGGCACTGTCAGGCTAGAAGTCCAGATTGTCATTTGAGACTCATTTTGACACATTTACACCTCATCAGATCTAATCTTGTGTATCAAAACCTCACTTAAATCACTATCAAAACCTCACTTAAATCATTATTTCCTTTCACTCCCAATCCTATCCGCCTGTTTTGATATAGCCAGTACTAAAATAATTCCACTGTGTTTATTGTTAGCGCTAAGGTATTTAATATTTCCCAGGAACGAGCTCATTAAATAAGAAAATGATCTCACGAGCTCCCCACACCGCTACAATCGGGAACAGTAACCCACGGCTCCCAGCAAGGGGCACTGTGCCACTAAATGTCCCTCAGCACCTCTTCTACACTAAAAAAGAGAAGTTATTGTGCAAGTTATCCGTTTAGCATGAAACTTGGAACCACATACACATCTTTGCCACTTTCAGATGAAGGTAATCACTTTCATTAACGTATTTTTGCCTGATTTTATTCCTCAGTCAACATCTTGTCTGGTCCAGGACTCACAAATTTACTAAATTAAGGTATGTTTTTGAAAAATGAAGTGGAATTTGCTTATTCACAAATGCATGGATAATTCAGAGGGAAATAGAGGTGTGTACACAAAGGATGAAATATATAAAGGATTTACTGTCCAGAAAATGGGGGGGACACTGGAGGGTGTCTGGAGACAGGATTCAGTTTAAAGTTTAGGTCTGATATGCAGGGAAGTAACAAACCCTTTGCATGCTAAACAAAAAGACGGTGGGGAGATATTCAGCAGATCCTTTTAGGGAGTCTGAAAACAAAAGCATGGAGAAGCCTGAAGCAGTGTGCTGCCATGAAAAGAATTCCTGTGGAGATGTTGGTCTTTTCCAAGACTAACAAGTAAAAAAAGAAAAACTTCAGTCATCCAAAGGAGAGATTCTCCAAGAAGGCAGAAAAATGAAAAGGAAGGCACTTTTAATAACAATCTGTGGGAAAACAAAATGCTTGGTGACTGCTGAAACTTGGCCAGTGTGTGGATGATTTTTCCAAATTAGAGGACATGCTTCAAGGAGAGCAACACCATCAACCTTAGCAAACCTTCAGGCAGAACAAGGTTGTCAGCAGGAGCACACCAGTACAATGTTGTCATGGAGCTGAAGTCTTATCTCCCATTTCTTACTTTATGATGTCTCCAGGGTTGTGTGTAGTGCAATCAGATCCAAGCTGCTCTCCTCAAAGCAGTTCTTTGTTCCAGATAAAAACTATCCTGAGAACTTAGAATGAATCATGGAATGGTTTGGGTTGGGAGGGACACCTTTCACCAGCCCAGGTTGCTCCAAGCCCTGTCCAGCCTGGCCTTGGACACTTCCAGGGATGGGGCAGCCACAGCTTCTCTGGGCAACCTGTGCCAGGGCCTCTCCACCCTCATAGGGAAGAATTTCCTCCTAAAATTTCAGAAGTTTCTGGAAAACATGGTTCTCTTATTTTTACACTACAATTTCTTCCCTTCCTTATGATGTTTCCTGGCTGGTTTTCCTATACTTTTGTAAAGATATTAATAAGAAAACACTGTATAAGGACCTCCTGCTCTGTGTGTCTTATTTAATGAATTGGAGAATCTGAGGTTTACTCTGAAGAATAAATGAGTATTTTAAACTAACCAGAGTTAAAAACAGTAGTTCAACACAGTTCAGCTGTAGTAGTTAAACCAGTGATTAAACTGTAGTAGTTAAATACAGCAGAATTCAGGTGCACTTGCCCACATGTCAGCTGGGAAAGGAACTACGACCTTGTTTCTTCAAGCATTTGAACTATTTTAATCTTTCTAACCATTTTGCTTTTGAAACAAGGAAGATGCAAGAAGTCAAATGACTGTCCTCTTACCTCTGTTAGTCTGGGCAACCAACCAGTGTCCTGCAGGCTGTTTAGGTCCCCACAGTGAGGGGACCAGGCAGCTGTGGAATCCTTTGCAAAGCCATAAAGCAGAAGCAGTGTTTGCCAGTAGCTTCTAGCATACCTCCTACCTGGTGTGGAACACTCCCTTTCCCACTCTGCTTTTGCTGGGATGTGCAACTCTACTACCAGAAGTCACCCAGCTGCCCCCAAGATTTCTTTGTTGCCTTGTCTGAGCATTTTCCCACATATTTAACTTGGGATAGGGAAAAAAAGGGCACGTCTTAGGTGGAGAGAATTTCTTCTCCAAAGGTCATTATGGTTTGTTTCCTTCTGCCTGTAACTCTGTGGTGTGGCGACAGCTGAGGTGCCAGCTGGGCAGAGTGGAAGGGCTGCAGAAGGAAGTGGCTCTTCAAGCTTTTTCAGTAGTCCCAATTTGGTCAGGCCTGGGCCTGGAAGACTGATTGGGTGAGGAAGCAGAAGGCTGTGGCTGCTCTATAAGAAAGAAAAAATTTTATGAGATCTTCCCTCTCTTTCTCTCCTCTCCATTTTTACCATTATGGGAGGCTTAGTCTGGATTTCTGACATCCTCACAGATGAGGAGTTTCCATCCACTGTAACAGGAAACTTCCATACTCTTCACTCATGGGGTTCCTTTAATGGTTTCAAGGTTATAGCAACCCTTGCAGAGCTATTTCTGAGGTATGTTCTGATCTACACGACAGAAGCACCATCTCAAACCAATTTAAGGGGATGCTGTTAATGAGATTAAGGCACAGTAAGTGGGTAGCTGTTACACTGATTTTTCTTCAGCTGCTTCTATTTACAGGAACACATGAAAGAGAGTGCTCATTTTTTTGTTGTTGTTTACTTTTGTAGCTCTCTGTTCTACATAAACTCAAAGAAATGAGAATGTGCTCTGTACTTTTCTCATGCTCAGCTCTATCCAAATCCCAGACATTTAGAAGAAAACCTCCAAAAACAGCAGGGGGAAATCTGATGTTTCTCAGCTCTTTCCTCATCTCACAGGCTCAGAGACATAACCTGATGTGAATTTGTGACGCACTTTCATTCAGGAACTCTCCCTCACCAGGATTTATCACTGCAGCTCAGTTGCTGTATGACTCTTCAGGAAGGCTGTAATTTCTTTTTCATTGCAAATGGATTGCCTGGGATAAATAACCTGCCTCTTATTTTGTAGGCAGAGAAGGTCAATAACAGCCTTTACAGGATCTCTCCATAAAAGGTGACAACAACTAACAGTTTAACCTCTAATCCATATTAACAGACTGCCTTTATTTATTGTTTGACTTGTGTGAAGACAAAGACAGGTAATCCAAAAGGAGCAGCTAATGACCTTCTTTTACAAGAATGTAGATACCAGTGGGCAAAAACCATTCCAGCTTCAGCATCAAGCACGGGGCTATTTTGCAAAGAAACACGGTGTGTTAGTTGTTGAAACTTTTTCCTGCATTCCCCGAAACAAACGACACTCTCCCGAATATTTTAAATAAAGTCTTTCATGTTGACAATGCTAATATTATATTTTAAAATAGATTGGCATTTGGGCTTTTCTGTCATTTTTTATTGCATTTTATAAATGCCAAGCGCAGAGATCCACCAAGCTCACTCTGAGAAAGCCCTGATTCTTGGGATAGCATCATGCACTGGCACAGGTGATCAGACGGTATTTTAATATCATTTTCCTGGCTGAATCGGTGGGGAAAGTTATTTCAATCAGAACTGTGGTATCTGAGTGTAGAGGATAGGTCAGGAAGGTTAATTTTAAGGGGTTTTCAAAATAGAATTGTTTCGTACAAATAATTTTCATGGGTAAATATTCCTGATGTGACATAATCTTAAACTATTTACATTTAATTAGTGCATTAAATCTAGATAATCATGGGAAAGATGGGAAGGGGGCAAGAAAATAATTTTGTTAGTACTTGTAATTCTGGGATTTAGCAATGCTACTCTGGCATTTGGGGGACAGATTAGGAAATTACTAGTAAACATTTTTTATAAGGAAGAGTTATGCACATTTTGTGTTCTATCTAATAAATATTTCCTAATGTATGAAGATATGTATGTAATTAAGTTGGTTTTACTTACTTGTATATTTTAGCAATGCACAAGACAGGTAGCTGGAAAATGCTCTTCAACCTTAAGTCAGGTACCTGGAAACAAGAAGTTAATTTTTATTTACAGAAATACTGATCCACATCTGCTCATTATTTAATTTCTTCTTGAAATCCATCCTCTTGTTTAAAAACACCTTAAAAGCTCATTCAATTCATTTTTCAGTCTCTTTTTCCACCGAGTGAAAGAATCAATTTCTAGATGATCTTTAAAGACATTTTCTTCCTCTTCCTACTTTATGAGGCCTAATTTGTCACGAGAAATAGCAAAAATCTCTCACACACAAGGTGGCAGTTGCAGAAGGTGTATTAGAGCTGGAATAATGGGAGAGGTGTTTCCCCAGGGTAGTGAACACAGTTTGTCTCATCTTAGTGTAGGAAAATATGAAAAGAAAGCCACGAGAGTTCTGAGAACGGAAGATTTTAATTTTCTTTTCAATTACTGAAGGATTTTGATCTGTAAATGTACAGATGACATTCTCCAGATTTACTCTGATTAGTAAGAAATCATGACAGATCTCGGCACTCTGGGAAATGCCAGTGGTTTTTTTTTGGCAAGGGGGCCTTGGAAGCACATTGAACCTTCCAAAATAGGGTCACCCAAAACTGCCCCTCTGATTTTCCTCTGCTGTTGGTTGTGCAGTTTAGCTTTCTGATTGTCCCATTTCCATTCTAACAAACTCTCTTACTTGGCACAAGGAGGTCGAGCATAATTCAAAGCCTGAATTAACTGCAAATCTGGCAATTGAAAAATTGATGTAGTACTATGACAGGATCCTCAGTGTAAATATATTGCATTAATGATAAAGTTCAATTAAAGGAAAGAAATGGATATTGTAAGGACTGACAAATTCGAGCCACCATATCTGTAAGACTAATTAGAAGTGTTCACCATCAGAACCGTGTGGAGATTGAACACTGGTGCCTTTGGAAGCTGTATATAACTGCTTTTATAAATATTTTAACTCAGTTTTGAACAAACAGTCATCTGGAAGAACCTTAGGAGAAGACATGTCCTTTTTGCAGCGTTGTTTTGTAATATTACAAGTATTTAACTTCATTGTGGTTGAAATTGTGAAGCCTTTCTACCGAGTGGATTTATTGCAAGATGGTTGCATTATTTCTCTGAACTTTCAAGCAGAAGGAGAACTGATTTCAAATCTTAGCAGCAGCCAGACAAATACAACCTTAATTGTCATATACATGCAATATCAATATGGAACAACTTTTTAAATCCAGGACAATATTCCTGTATTTCTACTCAGTAATTATTCTTAGTTGCAATGGGAAAAAAAAAAGTTGCTATTTTGCTATTCTTTTAACAGGGAAAGGATTTTTTTTTGGTGAAAAATACTACTTTGTACATAGGCAAGGGAATTCCAATAATTATTTGATGTTTAGAAACATGGAAGACCATTGGGGTGTCTTTCCATTGCAAGTCCATAAATCCCATAAATATGGAAATTATACCCCTGAGGGAAACAAAAAAAGTGGTATATTTTCATTATATCAAACAACTTCCTTGACAACTTTTGCCAAACAAGATTTTGGCAATGTAATGCTTTATAAGGCATTTTATAAGGCTGGTTCAAACCAATTCCTTTTCTTAAACTTGTAGCAATTAGGAAGTAAAGGAATGTGAGGCAAAATAAGGTTTTTTTCTGTATTAATCCTTTTTTTGCTGATGAAGGGAGGTAACTGCAGGCAGGCTGTAGTTGCTGTGGTTTCACACACACAGCACACAATTCCATTTGTCACAGTCATATGACAGCTGGAAACAAAAATATAATTGCTCAACATATCCAGAATAGATAACAAGAGGTCATGGCTAAGCTCTGCTCTCCTCTAAGTCAGCGTCAAGGAGAGCCACATATTTAGATTTAAGGGCAAATTCAAACATTTGAATTTAGCTCATCTTTCTTCCAAGCAATTCTGGCAAATGTATTTTCTTTAATGGTTCTCCTCAAGCAGAAATAGACACAGAAATCTAAACCGGCTCATGAAGGGAAAGTAAGATTTTGCTCACAACATTTTAAAAATGATTTGAAAATTTCCTGGTTATCAGAGACATTTCCAAAAATGCTGAAGAATTCTGTTCTGTGATATAAAAATATTTATCTTGCTTTTAGCTCAGGGGTATTTCATAGAAATATCCGAAACTTTGGTTACATTTGCAGGCCCTAAGTCAAAGAAAATACTGATAAGTGTTAAGGATTAGGTAATACAAAATTAGACATAGCCTTAACTTTCTTTCAAGGTCATTAAAATTTTTATGTTGCCTTTTTTATTTTACAGGTTTATATTTTAATGTTTATTTGAAATTAATTATAATATTTAACATATTTAGCATACACTACTGGAAAAGGTCGTCTGCTCTCTGTGTTGAGGGGGTTCTCTTGTCACACAAGAAATGTTAATAATGCTGATCCTAAAAACAAATTGTTTCAAAAATTACCCGATTGAATTGGGAATAAATCTGAGTATGTGTTCAGGTTTCCACTTAGATGCTACAGTATTACCTAATCAGGCACCAGTGGAGCTTCTGCACACACCAAACCATCGACTATTTCGACCTGAGCCTTCACACAAAGTATTCATTTACTTTGCTGCATAAGAGCACAGTTCTGCTGTCACACAGAGCTGCTGTGCTCTGCACTGGAAGGAGGTGTGACAGAAAGCTCAGCAGAAGCACAATTTCAGTGTCATCTGGTTCAGCAGCACCTCTGTAGCTCTGACACTTGAAATATGTTTTCAGCTCTTCAGACAAAAACCGACACTCGTTTTTGCTGAGAAAGGCTTAGCAAGGGAGAGGCACATTGGAAGGGTCACTGGTGTTAATGCAGAGTGTCTGAGGCTCAGTGGACACAACTGAGCCACAGAAATGAAGATAAAGCAAATAAGAGTGTTTAACCCACGTGGTGTCTCTGCAAAGCAAGGGGTAGGGACACTTTTCTCCATACAAAACACTCACCCTTCTATGTCCAGCAACTGGAGCAACTTCTCCAACATATTGCTGGTTTATTTTCCAAACTATGCAAGTTCCCAGGGACCCACACTGATCCACACAGGATCATAACAGCACAGTCTGGCTTCACAGTCCAATGAAAATTAGCCTAAATATCTATGGAATACTTCTAATACTCACAAATTTTTATAAAAATACCATTAACCAGTTCAAGTCACTTCCTTCTGGAAAGGCAGACAAGTGCTCTGAGCCAGTTTTAGGTATTTATTTATCCACTTCCTTTTTTATCCCACCCTCCCAATGAAGTGGAATCCACACTGTTCTCCTTTGCTTTTGGAAGCTGCCAAAATATGAAGTGATCTCTGAGAAGACAACGAACATCACACAACAAAACCTGAACAAAGTTCTATCCTATTTCGTGGAGTACTAAGTCTAGTGTGTTTTGAACTTCCAAAATTTAAGATACATCTGATAAGAAAACCTATTTAAACATCGAAGACCAGTTTTGCTGGATTCAACACATGAAACATGATGTTGCTTAAAAAGACTGAAAGGTATAAATTTTGCACTTATCAATGTAATAATCAGATTTCCTTAAAAACAGATGAACTCTGAATGTCTTTATCATTACCATGCTGGCATTTTCCATTATTTGCATTTACTGGCAACCTTTTTGTCCTTCCAGGAGGGAACACTTGTGCTTATTTACACAAAATAAAGACAGCTTCACTTTCTAAGTTCAATATTTTGGGCAAGCAATAATATAGCAGTGTGCAGGCCAGTCTTAGCAGGAAATAATGCCAGTGCTGATCACAGTGAGATGACTCGTGGTATCAGCTCATTTGGAGAAGTTTAGTAAACATGTTATCTCCAGCACAGGTCTGATGTAATGTTTATGAGTTCAGTCTGCCCTGTTTTGCCATTGTTGGTCATACTCTTGTTACCAAAACAGCCCCAAAGTCTTTTCTTCATCACAACCTTCAGAAGGTCACATACAGATGATGTTTCATCACGACCTAATATCTGAACCACATGTTCAAAGAGAAATCCCTCATGCTGTCAGAACACTTAGGCCTTTAAATCTTACTTACAATGAAGCTTGAACAACCTGGTGCTGCAGAAAGCTTTTGGCTGATAATCTGATCTTTATGTAAGTAGTTTCCATTTTGCCTAAATAGTGAATATGCCGAGTTGTATGGTGGATTACCTGTGTCTAAATAATGAATATGTCAGGTTGTATGGTGGATTATCTATATGACTGCAAATGCTTACTTAACACTAGGGTTAGATGGCCATCTATATTTGTTAACACGAGGACCAACACGTCCTCCAGGACACCTGAGTGAAGTCTGACTTCTAATCACAGAGGGAAAATGTTATGGGGAGTCAATTAGAAGGAAAGAGTAAAAACTATTCAGTCTGTACAACACACTTTATCAAGGTTCTGAAAAGGCATCAGATTTTTTAATACCCTTTTTACACTCAATACTTTTTCTGTTTCAAATGGTGCCTTTGAAGTGCTTAAACTAATCCTTTTCCTTCACCTTAAGTAAGAAGTTATAACTGAATAGGCACATCAGGAGGATCTGATGGATAAGGAAGTACAGTTTGCAGTTATTTTCAGAGTAAATCAACACTTCGAATTTTTCAGCACATTAATGTCCAGGGTATTTATTATATGGAAACTCACAGCTACTGCTCTCACACCTCGGTGTCATAGGGCAAGTTCTCTGTTCAGGATCTTCTCAGCAACTTCTCTAATTACCTGCACAGGCAGAAACTTCTCTCCAAGATGGACTTTTTCAGATTGTTCAAATATCTTCTAGCTTTTCCTACCTTTTGCTGGTGGTTAAGGTCCTTAGGAATTTCCTTCATTACTTCTCTAGGAAGATGCCCATGACAGCTTCAGGGAGAACACCTAATACATTTTATTCCCTATGTATTTCATCTCTTATCATTTTTGTCTCAACTGCTTCAAAAATAGAGGCTTCAGGTCTATGTGCTAAGGGTCAGAGTTGTGCCACTTCAGAAATTTGAGACTACACGAGGAGAATGAAGCCAAACAAAACAATTG